TTAAAGAAGTAGTACATGAAGAGGTTAAAAAGAGCGCGCACACCCACACACACACATGGCGTGGTCAGCGGTGTCATATCATGTTGAAGTGTCAATTTTCCGAGCAGGGGTTAAGGAAACATTAGTAATTATCCGACTCTGTTGACTCCAGACCTGTCTTTTTTCAGCCTCGGAGTCTTTACCTTAATGTGTCTGCTTATACAGTTTTAAAAATGTGGGCAATGTCTCAGTGTATTACAGCCTGACTAATGCGGTGTAACCATTGTTTGTGTGTGCTATCATTGATAGAAAGTGAATGACTACTTGCTGGAAGGTAAGGAAGGAAGCACAGGATGTAAGGGGGGGGGGGGGGGGTAACAATTTGCAATAAGAAAACATGCTGCAAAAAAGTCCCTGTGCTGTTTATCTTCACAATTTATTATTATTACATTTTTAAAATGTCCAAAGTGATGTGATCAAATTGCTTCTCTCACCGAACCAACACTGCAAAATCAAACAACTCTTCGGTAACTGTCACATATGACAAAATAAATCAGTGAATCCTTCAATTAAAGACGCAAGAGGCAAATGTCTGGCTTTTTTGGGGGGAGGGGGGCTTATAATTCCTTCATTGTAGAGATAGGACAGTGGATCGAGTCGGAAATTAGGGAGAGAGAGTGGGGAATGACGTGGGAAAGGAGCCACTGGTCGTATTTGAATCCGCTTTGAGGGCTAAAGCCTCGGTACACGGGACACGCGCCCTTACCACTCGGCCACCGGCGCTCCCATGTGTATAACTTTTGATTGAAAATGACAGACGGTTAATGGGCTATCAAAAGAGTTGACAGTTTTCCTCTCATGACCTACGTGATTAATCAACTTATTACTGAAGCTAAAGATTTTTAAAATGCAGTCTTTAAAGGAGAACAGTGTTTGAGGCGCGCTTCATCGATGTTTGCAATCCACATTCACAAGTGATCATTAGCCAGACCAGATAGCATTTAAAAAAAACTCCAGTTAATTAAACCCTCAGTGCATCCTTCTGAATAAAAGGCCATGACAATGCAATAAAAATAAAGAACAGCCCCATACCTATATTGACAACAAACCTTGCCCTCTGCCAATGGGAGGAGCTTGGTCATACCTTAACAACAGAGCCTGAAGTCCCAAGATAGACTCTTCTATATTCTTGGATGTAGATGTTGGTGGAATGAATTAACGAACGTGATTTAATATGCAGTCCCTTTACAACCTTTAGGAAGCTCAAGATCTAGCACTTGATATTGATGTAATTGATGATTGAGGATGTTGTTGATGCTACTTATAACTGATTTTTTTTTTTTTTAAATCTACTTCTATACTCTCTGTGCATTGCCTGTCAGCACCTACGTCTGTCCGACCTGACTGGAAGCTGTTTATTGGCACTCACTGACCTTGTTTCCTCCTCTCTAGACCTGGACCTTGACAGTGGCTTCCTTAAAATGTATACCGGAGCTTGTGCAGCCACACCCAATGTAGATACAAAAAAAAACTATTGTTGATAATCTTGGCCTTAAAAATGTTGAAAAACCTTTAAACAACATTTTAATCAACCTTTTGATTACCATGACATTTGATGCAGGCTCCCATGTTCTCTTCAGGACACACATTTTTATAATACTCTGTTATTTACAATGTGCAATGTAAAACAATGTATTCGTTATCAAAGTAAGCCATTCAAATGCAACAAAAAGTTGAAGTCACACTCGGTTTAAACAACAACAGTGATTCTATCATACAACCATATAACTGACTCATCCTTTTTATTAGTTGTAGGAAAAGCAGAACTCTATCAGACAATACATTCCCACAACCCCATCTCCTGTCACTCTCTCTCTCTCCGCTTTTTGTCTGCATCGTGTTTACAAGCACAAATGCACTGTGGTCCATACAGATGCATGGGCAATCATGCACACACAGCCGCATCTTGTATACACAAACAGTACATTTATGACAGAGCGATAAAGGAGAGTGAATTTGTGAGCCAGTCAGTGGAGAAGCATCTTTTCTGACAGTTGGCAGAAGTGAAGTTGCTAAGCAACCTTTGGCCTTGATGACAGGAAATGATGTCATGCTTGTAAGACAAATCACAAGCAGACACACAAATGCACTGGCAGCTTACAGGTGCACACATGCACACAAACGTGTAGACACCCAGACGCACACACAGATGCAGAGTGACCCTCACAGGGTGGAATAATGAGTTGTGATGATAATCTGGTCATGGGTTAAAACAATATATTAATCTTCTCTAATGGTCTCGCTGATCCATGAGTCCATTAAGGATGACCTTAGATATATATACATACACACGCCCATTTAAATGCATGGACTTAGCTGGGAATATGCTTTTAAGTAGGCTACAATACATTTGCTTCCCTTTCATTTCTCAGAGTTCTCTCAACCCGCCTGTGAACTCATCTCCTGCCTTCGACTTCCTTCATCTGTGATCCATAGTCACGCCATCCCCCCAACTGGATACACACACTAACAGCACATGCACATACACACACACCAAAACACAAAACAATGAAGCTTATTGCTTTGTGCTATGGGAAGAGAGAGTATAAAGGGCTGTATTTTGGAGCTGATGCATATAGGAGAAGATTTTTTTATTGTTAATCTGTCTCCCCTCCCGAGTTAAAAGTTGCAAGACTTACAGCTCCACACAGTGTTCAGTCCTTCTCACTGCAGTCGCTTCCCTCTGGGACCTTTTGCTTTAAATTATTCATGTTTGTAAAGAAACGAGCTGCCAAAGACCATGAAACTCACCATTATGTCAGCGAGCTGCTTTCGAGGGCATTGTACCAGGTAAATCCAGCTATCTCTATCACCCATAGGTGCTGGTTATATTTGGCCCTGTTGTACTTTGGGTTTCTTGTAAAAAATAATGACAGAAGCACATGATGAAAAGTTGGAAAAGATCTAGTCATTATATCTATTTTGTACTAATTGTTGTGAAAACCATTATTCACATTAAAGCCAATTAATTAAAAAAGTTGTTTGAGTCTTTGGTGTGTTTTTACATCAGCTTCTGCGTTTCTGACTGAAATAATTGTATTGTAATCGTAAAATAAAGTGTATTCATCTATCAGCTGGAATGAACAAAGATTTGATCTTATTGAAGTCAAAAGCATCCACAAACAATTAAATGACATTTGATTTAAAAACAATCCTTTCTCTTTTAAATAATGGCCTGCTTAATAACTATTTTTTTATTGACCCACAACCCCAAAATGATTAAAAATGCTTCATTGAAAAAAGGCAACACGGTCACACATTTATGTAAAAAGAACCTCACAATTATTGTTCACTTGGTAAAGATCACTTGGTCCTTACACAGTGAACATGAAGTAATACATATTTGCAGAGACCCCTTCAATTTTAAGGTGATTTTCCTTGAGTGTGTGTGTGTGTGTGTGTGTGTGTGTGTGTGTGTGTGTGTGTCCTATCTTATCAATGATCGGTTCTTCAGCAGTGACTGTGTGGTAACACCTGTGCTTTCAATCTGTGGTGGTGGGCTGTGGGACTTGGCTGGCCGGGGATGGGCCCTTGGCTGGGGGTGGTTATTTCAGAGGCTGGTAAGTGGGGGGATGCATTGCGGGTGGAGGGGGGTATTTGTCCTCCATAAAGAAGGAGTACAAAAACAAGCAACAATTAAATAAAGAGGGTGGAAATCAAACAAATGGGAAACAAAATATATAAAAAGGAATAAGCTAAAAACAATAAATACTGACCAGCTGACTACTCTAGGAAGACACAGTCCTCGACTGGGCTGGCACCTTCCTCCTGGTCTGGGTGCAGCTCTGGATAAATAGACTGCCTGAAAACAAGTTGTGCTGCTTGGGGTGACTGGTTGGGGTTGCTGGTGGTGCACCTCTCTGGTGGCCTGGCCCTGCCCTGCAGATCACTACTGATAAGCACTGTAAAAGTTATATAGTTGTTTTTTCCCCCTCATAATTGTTGTAGAAGTCCACTGTTATTTACACATAAATACGTCTGTATGCATGTGTTTATTAATTTGTATACTCAACAAAACACCAATTCATTTATTACAATAATTATCGCTTATTTTATTATTTTGTATACTTTTCTTTCCTCTCTCTCCCCTCACTTGATTATCTACCGATATTATAACTCTAGATCCTAGACCTGTCCATACAGATCCATTATATTATATTTGTATGTTTATACATTGTCTGTGTATTGTCTCTGTATTCATCTCAATGTTTCTTGTCTTTTACCAAACATTCCCTTATCATGTTTATTTCACCAGTACAAAAATTATAATTGTCCTTTTGCGACATTGAGTTTTAAAGTGCATCAAAAATCACTAATATACTTCATCGCAGTCTATGTAAGACTTCTCATACATACTTTTTAATTTAGCTGTTTGATATGCTTTGGTAGTCTATATTAATGAATCATTCCTTTTAAAACGAGCCTCTTACAAAATAATCCTTATCATATCCTCAGAACATACTATGTCATTATCCCTTGAATCCTTTTAATCATCATTTAGTGCATGCTTCCCTTAATTCAAGCCATTGCTGGGTTGTGTAAGTAATTGTAATAGACCACAGACACTGAAAGCCCAAGACTTAATGTTATTACTGTCTTTGCTCTGGTATTTGTTATCATTTAAAGAGACAGTGAGACATTTATTATGGAGCAATTGTGTTACGATACACTTGTGTGCACTTTCAACACAATTTAACTCTAACCAACAATATGTTTACAAGGAATTCCATCACTGGTTTCTTTATTAGAAATGTATGCTTCTTTTTATTTAAAAAGTATCATTACTGTTTACCTGTGACATGTAATAACCGGGCCAAAAATGTTCAGCTTAAGTATTTTAATAGTACTAGAAGTAGTTTTGGCTGTACACCTGGCTCACACCTCTCATCTGTGTAACCATCATTGTGAGGTCACAAAACAAAGAACAGTTCAAACACTGATTAGAGTAAAACTTAAGACAGTTTCATGAGGTCAAAACATTTTAATAAAAAAAAGAAAAAAATAACTACTTATTTGTAAGAACATTAATCCTCCACTTTGCCGGAAATCACACTTTAACATCATGTTCACACCACCTCACACACATTCACTCACTCAGACAATGTGATGGACAATTGCTGCACCTTTGGAACAAAAACATGCAGATTGATTTTCAATTATTAATAAACACATCCTAGATGTTTACAATCCAGTGAAGCATGAATGCATACAGGTTTGATTTAACTGTAAAGACCTTTCTGGTGAGTTTGCCTGTATTAGCACATAAATCACAAATTCTTTACTATCGACTATTTCCTCAGAGCTTCATAATCTTCCAGGTTTTAACTGGATTAAAACATGTTATATGTATGGAGATTAAACCTGGCTAAGTAGTAGCTTATCTGTTTTTGTTGCCTTCTTTTATTCACATCACAACTTCGTTCAAAACTAATCAAAACTGCACTGGCATGAACTGAAAATGACTGGCTGAATAAAAACGAGATTATCAACTTGGAAATGGTCAGCAGAAAGATATTGTAATTGATTTGTAGCTAATGTGCTAAAACATGCTAAAACACATAGTAGTCTTTGAAAAAGAGCACACAAGTATCCCCTCTGCCATGAAGGTTATTCAGCATTTAAGCCTTGAACAGCACAAAGGGATGTGAGCAAAATAAACTGAGGAAAAAATTGTTTGTATGTGAAGCAACAGTTCATCTCTATTTACAAATGAATCATACAGAGAAAAAGCTATTCTTTCTCTGCAAAGAAGCAATCACATCCCTGAGCACAGCATTTATTCCAGTCGCTCTGGCATACTGCTGTGTGTGATCAGTTATCTTCCAGTCTTTTCTGGCTCGCTCTAGGTTGATCACAGTAGTGCAGTACGGCATGTCTCTCGAAATTTTCCTGACCCAAAGTCAAAAAAGATGCAGAAACTTCAGTAGCTGTAAGCCAGGCACGACAAAACTGTGTGAGTGTTGGGGTCCTGCAGTGACATGAAGTATTTGAGTAACAGTCACACAGCCCTCCTCCAGTGTCTCGAACAGTCTAAGATCCATCTCATCTCTTCCCTTTGAGTAGCACATGGAGCAGCATGACATTGTTAGCCGTTATTCCTGGATTCATCATTATCTCAAGGTTACAGGAGTTTTTGCCTATTAACATGGAACCTTTTCCTCTTCTTCCTCTGTCTTCTCCTCCTCTTCCTCTGCGTCTTTATCTTTGTTCTTTTTGTGTTTCTTCTTCTTGTGTTTGTGCTTATGCACCTTGTGTTCCCCTTCTTTTTCCTGGCTGCCATGCTTCTTATGCTTCTTGTGTTTTTTATGTTTCTTGTGTTTCTTCTTCTTCTTGTCTGTTGTAGTGGTAGTGGTGGTGGTTCCCGAGCCGCTGTGGTTGCTCAGGGTGGGGCTGTTGGAGGCCTGGCTGAGAGAGGGACTGAGGCTGCCACTCCTCCCTCTCTCCGGCTCAGATCCTTCTCCTTCGCTGTAATCTGGAACAAAAGCAGCCTCGTCTGTCTCACGGCCCAGGTCAGAGCACAGACGCTGTCTCCTGGGCTCTGGGCCACGAGTCTCCTCTCGTCCTCCTCCACCTCTCCCTTCTGCTGCTCTTTCCTCCTTTCCAGTCACTACTCGCCCCTCTTCTCTTCCTACTCCTCTTCCCTCCTCTCTTCCTGCAGCTCTTCCTTCTTCCCTTACTCCTCTCCCTTCATCCCTCACAAGCTTTACTTTTTGTTTATCTGAATTGGTCTGTGTTGTCCTGCCACTTTTGCCCTCCTCCTTTGGTGGTCTCACTTTCTTCTCTTCTCTCATGACTCCTCTCCTCTCCTCCCTTGTTGTCTCCAGTCCTGTACTTCTGACAGGTTTCTGTGCTTCAGCCTGAACCTCTCTGCCTCTTACCCTCTTTGGCACTGGTGACGGCTCCTTGGGAGCACTCGGTCCATTTTCCTGGCCCTCTTCATCATCTTCTCTCTCCCATTTGGAGCGAGGAGGAGGCTGAATGATTGGCTCCTCTCTGGCAGGGCTGGGTGGGGGGCTGACAGTTTGGCTGCAGCCTCTGCTGTTCACAGGGCTGGATGGGGGCTCTTCTGCAGGTTTGGAGGTGACACTCTTCTGGTCTTTGTCCGACTCCTGCCTTGTTTCTTGAGTTGACCTAATGCAGAGTGAAAAAATGATTAAAACGCACTGATTGAGCATTGCATTTAGTAACAACTGTGTGACTAACTGTGTGGACTTTTAAACAAAATAAGTAATAGAAAGGCACAACAGTCTCACCTCAGGGAGCTCGCTGTTGGGCTTGTTAGGGCTTTACGGCTGATCTTCGGTTTGCGTTTCACAACAGTTTCCTCACCATCTTTTACTGCTGGAAGAGGAAGTGGGACACAGAAATGAAACACTATTAATCAATGCTTAACCAGACGGCACAAAACGAAATCAAAGTCTTCTCAGAGGCATGCCCTTACACACAGATTCAAATTACCTTCTCGGTTAGCAGCAAGTGGTTTCTCCCCTGAGGGTACACTCCTCTCTGCTCTGTCCTTGGAAACACTCCTGGGAGAAATAGGAGAATGTAATTACATTTATTAAATGTGTTTACAGAACCACTGTAACAGGCTTCTTTCTATCATAGACAAGGGATGTTGCTTTGACAAGCAAGAGGTACTGAATTTAACAGACCTGTCAGATTTTGAAGCTCTTTCTGACCCCTCTCCTCTTTCCTTGGAAGATGCGCTTTGTTTTTCCTGATGGTCTACTGCTCTCTTGGGGACAGCTGATTTCTCTCCAATGGTCATTTTATCCAGAGAGACAGACCTGCCTCCTGCACTTCCACTACTGGACCTCTTTCGTTCTGTCCTCACGGATCTTTCTCCGTCAGAGTTTCTGTCTACTGTTACAGAAACCTTCTGTGAGCTTGATCCAGGGACCCGGTCCCTCTCTCTGTCAGATGCCACGCCTCTATCTCTGTCTCGGTCTGATCCAGAGACTCTGTCTCGGTCTGATCCAGAGACTCTGTCTCGATCTGATCCTGAGACTCTGTCTCGATCTGATCCTGAGACTCTGTCTCGCTCTGATCCTGAGACTCTGTCTCTGTCTGATCCTGAGACTCTGTCTCTGTCTGACCCTGAGACTCTGTCTCTGTCTGACCCTGAGACTCTGTCTGACCCTGAGACTCTGTCTCTGTCTGATCCTGAGACTCTGTCTCTGTCTGATCCTGAGACTCTGTCTCGCTCTCTGTCTGGTCCTGAGCTTCTGTCTCGCTCTCTGTCTGGTCCTGAGCTTCTGTCTCGCTCTCTGTCTGGTCCTGAGCTTCTGTTCTGCTCTCTGTCTGAGCCCTGCAGTCTCTCTCCAGCACTCCCTTGTCTTTCTCTGGAGACTCCCCTCTCAGCAGACGACGATCGCTCCCTTTTTCCAGCAGTTTCCGCTGTGCTGCTGGGTCTGTCTCCTTCAGTATTAGCAGCAGATCGATCCGAAGTTGAAGGCGTCTTCTCAGAACCTGGTGTTCTGTCTGAGGGTGGTGTCTCAGTGCTGCCTTTTCTTCCCAGATCTCTGTTTAGCTTTATCCTCCTCTGGGCCAAGGGCTTCACCTGAATAAGGACAAAAGTCAGAGACAAGAATTCACCAGGTGTTTCATCAGAAAAAGTGGACACACCAATTCTAAAATGATAGGCCTTTTAGAAAGTATGGATCAAAAGAAATGTAATAACCAACATAACCATAAATAAGATCACTGTCATTTCTAGATATCTGTCTTAAAAATAACTAGTACTATACATTTTATACTAGGGCCACGATTTAGAATGAGTTTCATTCTTTACTAAACTATTAATTATTTAGATTAAATATTAAGGGGTAAAGGTTTTCAAAAGCCAAAATGGCTCTAAAATGTCTAACCCTGAAACTCAAATATTCAGTTGTCATATAGTAGGAAAGCAACCAGAAGATGGTCACATTAAGAAGTTCACATTAAAGAACTCTAAAAAGGTTGATTACAACATGTTCTGAGACTCCATCAGGAGCCACAGATAAGATGGGAAGTTACTTCATCAACGTAACGCCTGATTTTAAAGTTATTCAGAATTGCAAATTGCTCCTGTTGTTTGAGGAGAATGAACAAGCAGTAGACCCACCTGAAGATCCATCAGAGGTCTGATTGATCCTCGATCTGCATCATCCCGACTCATCTCACGGCTCCCTGGTAAGGGCAGAAGACCAGGTCTGTCTGAAGGGGGTGGGAGTCTGTGGAGCGGGGGCTGATGAGACATGTGTGAGAGGGACATGACATCAGCCCCTAATCCATCTATTCTCCTCAGCTTTCCAGGAGGAGGTCCAAGCAAAGAGCGACCCTCAACTCCCATCCTTCTCCGGCTGTCGCCCGGGGAGGGAGGTCTATGGAGGAGTGGGTGTCCATGTTGATGGGGGGTAGGAAGGAGACCGCCACCCTGTGGAAGATCTCTTCTCCCCCGAATGTCATGACCCAGTCTAGGAGTGTCATGAAGGGAGGGATGGAGTAGAGGAAGGTTGTGGGAGGGAAGAGGAGGGGTCTTAAGTAGGGGAGGCCTCACTGAAGAGCTTTTACTCTTCTCCTTTTTAGGTGTGGAGTTGGGGGCTTCTTCTGTTTTTTTACTAGTCTTGATCGGTTTTGTGGCAGAAGAGGAGGAGAATGAGGATTCTTTCTTTTTGGTGGACAATCCTTCACCTATCTTTTTCTTCGCTTTTTCACTCTTCGCCTTCACACCCTCCGTTTTTATCTTAGCTTTCACCTTCAGTCCCTTGTCCTTCTTCGTCTTGTCAGACGGAGTCTTGGATGTTGCTTTGGTTGAGGGTTTAACAGATGAAGCAGAGCTTTTAGAGGCTGGAGCTTTAGTGGTTGTAGTCCCACCTGGAGGCTTTGATGAAGTGGGGGATGTTTTATTAAGTGAAGGAAGTTCGTCCATTGGTTCATCTCTGACAGGTGTAGCATCACCTCTGTCTACTGACTGTGATGGCTCTGAATCCTCCCCAGTCCTCTTCTTTTTTACTTTCTTTGCCTTCAAGACTTTAGTGCTGGACTTTGTCCCAGATGTGGAAGAGGATGAGGGATGGTGAGGTGGAGGACCTCTCTCCTCTCTCCCTCTTCTCCCTCTGCCCTGGGGGGAATAATCTCTTGGTAATGGAGACATTCTGTCTCGCTCCCTGTCTCTGCTGCCACGACCTCTGTGATGATGAGAGGGATGTTGGTTTTCATAATCTTTGTAGTATTTGTTGTACCAGTCTGCGTACTGCTTCTCCCACTGCCGATACCTCTCTCTTTCCCAGCGCTCATGGCCTGCAGGAGTTGGACCATTCACTTCATAAGGTTCAGGCTCCCGCGGAGGTTGCTTTCGCCCACCAGGGCTTCGGCTCCTGTAACCACCAGGGGAACGAGACCTAGACCTGAAGGGCCCTGCTCCCTCCGCTCCCTCCCAGGCTCCTCCACGGTAGGGGGGAGGAGTCCGTGGTGAGCCAGAGCGCTGATACCCAAAAGACCTTGAACGAGAGCGGGATCTTGTACGTGAGCGTCCATAGCTGCGTCCATTGCGTCTGGAATAAGGCGAGCGTGGATAAGATCGGCCATGGGAGCGTGACCGGGAGCGGGATCTACTGGGAGAATACGAGTAAGACCTGGATCTTGATCTGGATCTAGATCTGGACCTAGAGCGAGAGTAAGGAGAACGGCTGAATGGAGAGCGACTGTATGACCGTGATCTGGAAAGGAAAGGATTGAGAAGACCAGAAGGAATCAAGTGAAGAAAGCAGCTTGTGCAAAGGAAATAAACATATGTAATTCATGTAAGAACTAAAAGTTGATTAGATCGGCGGTCTTATGAACTTACCTTGAATAAGATGGTCTTCGTCTCTTTGGTGCATTTCTGTACTTCATAAGCTCTTTGTGGAAGTCTTTAGTAAATTCATCCAGTTTGGATGTTACTCTGCTGATAGATAGAAGGACAAAAACACTTAATTTCAAAATGTCTCCAATTTTGCACACTATATGATGTTAAAGTTCTCATGAAACAGCTATCTTAGCAATATTTGACAAACAATGAAGTTCACTGCAAAAAGAGGAATGCTAGAGACTAGCTTGGAGTTACTGCGGGTATTGATACGTGCTCCAATAAATATACCTTGATATTGGAAATCAACAATAAAAATCACAAGTTCTAGCAGCGCTTAAAGTCCAAAATAGAAAAGACTCACTTGTCCTGTCTGTGGTGCCGCTGTCTGTAGAATTCTTCCTTCGAGAGGGGGGGGTTGAGAGAGGGGGGGAGGGAGAGGGAGAAGAGGAGGCTGGGTACCGGGGGCAACCCATGGAGGGTTGAGCACTGGTGGTCCAGGGGCATAAACAGGCTGGGGCTGGTAACTGAGGGGAGGAGGGAGGAGGCCAGGGGCAGAGGTGTAGGGTGGAGGGTATGACTGCGGGGGAGGCGGGTACAGGGATGGAGCTGGGTACACTGGAGGAACTGGAAGAGGAGGTGGAGCTGTATGGAGCATAGGGGAGGGGCGCTCTCCTCTACTTCTGAAAGGCCTGCTATGAAGAGAAGAACACAAACAATGTGAGACTTGTGTATTGCAATACAAATGTTTGAATTGCAGACAGTCCTAAAGACAAGGTTACCTCTCCCAGTGTCTGCCTCCTCCTCTGTTAGAGTGGTGGGCTCGTGACTGGTGACCTAATAGAGCAGAGACAATTTATTAGCTTCAGATCACATTTTCTGCTGAAAGCAGGGTACCCCCAAGGATTCTCAAAGTTTAATTTAAGCCATAAAAATAATTGTTTACATTTTAAACCCGTTACTAGCTGACAAAACAGTGACAAAAACAGCTCCTCCTTCCCTAAACTCTCTCATCCAGTCTACACTCCCACTAGCTCTCCGTTTGCACCTTTAAGAAAAAGCTAAAGACCCTGCTCTTAAATGAACACCTACAGTTCGCACTTAATATTTAAAATGATGATCAGGTTGATGATAATGACGATAATGCCATTTTTAGGTTGGTTTTGATGCTGATTAAAACTTTCATGCACAGCTGTAAATTTTTCTGCATTACTAGTTGCAGTTGTTTCAGTTCTAGAGTTTTGGTGGTCACAGTACCGTGCTACAGAAGCTTGCTTCTGACAGGTAGTAGCAATTGCGATATGTTTAGCCTATTCATGTAGGATTCCAAAGCCAGAACACCCACAGTGCCCAACCTGACAGTGTTGCGGCACCAACCACATAGGGCCTCACGGTCATTTCCTGGAGCAGGGCTAACCCACTATTATGGGTAATGCTGCCAGAGAGTATTAAAATTACCCTCTTCAATTCTAACACAATGAGCCACCGCACCATGTAAGACAGACATAAGGGTAAATTATACAAAATGGGATTCCGATATGAGCTTCAAATCAGTACATTAAAGAGTGAAGTACCTGACGTAATCAGTAGCTGTGCTGTCATAATATCAAAATCATCCATATTAGTGAGTTAGAAATGTATATAGACAAAACATCAAATTAATTTGAAAGTTATTTATGGTGTTACGCTACTTGTTAAAACGAAGGGAAGGGAAAATTTAAGACTGTGTGCAAACTGAATTTAAGAGGTTTTTGTTTGTTCAATTTTTTTGTGTGGTCTTTATGCCTTTTGTGATAGGACAGCCGAAGAGAGAGAGGAAATGATGATAGTTAAGAGTGGGGGATGACATTGAGTAAAGGGCTGAGGTCAGAGAAGAACCCACAGCAGCTGGGATGAAGACTATAGCCTCTGTACATGGGACGCACAACTTAACAGCTAGGTTATCCATTGGAAGACTTTTTAACGAAATTCAAGACTTTTAAAGGCCCTAATTTTACTTGAATTTAAGACTTTTTGGGTACCCTGTGTAAAAGATCGACTATAAACTTCTTACCTGATGATTGAGGTTGTCTTATTGGTGGCAAGTGGCCAGCAAAGTTTGAATGGTAGCCCTGTTGGAGATATGACAGTGATGGGTTAAGTTACAGTTTCTCCTGTTCACAATTTGTCAAATAACTTCAGATCTACAGTCTCAAAGCCATGAAGTTTGCCCTTAAAAGAGATAAAGCGAACACACCTGTGAGCCGGATTCTGAGTTTTGAGATGAGTCTGGTGTCACCGTAGGTTCTGGATCTGACTCACTAAAACATACAAACAGGTAAAAAATATTGGCCCTCATTTCAAATGTCATCAATTGAGCACAGACTTTAACGTATCTAAGAATAAGCTTACCCCGGTGGAGGTGGTTCACCCTGGCTGATAGAGTGAAGAGGAGAATGGTTTTCAGCAATAGGTGCAGGACCTGGTGAAGAAACTTGTTCTTCCAGAACAACAGCAGCATGAGGAGGAGTCGGAGCAGCGGTCGCAGCAGAAGCAGCAGCTGGGGCAACCGGATCAGGTGTAGGTGCAGGTGCAGGTGTGGGAGCTGGCAGCTGTGCTTGAGGGGCTGTGAGGGGGACACTTGGAGGAGGCGGATGTGAGATGTTGGCTAGCAGTGGGTCCTGCTGTCTTGAGTGCAGAGGCCTAACGAGTTGAGGGCGAGGTGGAGGTGGAGCTGCATTTTGAAGCTGTTTGCGAGCATGTTTGGTGTATCCAGTCTCATTCTTAAAGTTATTCACGGCCTGCACAAAGACAAAAACAAAGACATTTTAAAAATAGAAGTTTTAGTTTTTATTGAGTTGAATTTAAGAGTTCAAGTACCGTAAAAAAAATCCAGTGTATAAGGCGTACTTTATAACGTATAATACCTATTTTTCCCGCTAAAAAGTTGGCTGCGTGCTATATAGCGGTGCAATTTCTATTCCAGATTTTACCGTAAATAAACCAAACAATGAAACATGACGAAAAATGTGCATTTTCGTTGTTACCTGTCGAAGAAACTTGTTGGCAATGAGATTATCAGGTGAAACATCGGCCTGTTTGCATGTGTAGCAAATGTGCTCCTCTGAGTCTAACAACGTAGTCCTGATACCTGAAAAGAGAAAAGTAAAACTCTTCACAACCTGCAGAGAAGGTGTGTTTCGAGAGGAAGAAGACATAACCCCAACCTGCCTAGTCTACATATCCCCTAGAACATTCTAACATCACAGGGATTAATATAAAAACAACCAAATACAAATACACAATGGAATATAAACATATAGAAACCATTGTGTTAAAAAAAAAAAATCAAAAACAGAATTTCGACAGCTTCTTAAAATGCATTATGTCCTGGGAGAGTAGTTCTTTAGAGAGTTCACTGTTGGATAAATGGATTGTTTGAGCTATTTCCAATGGGGATTTAATATCAAGCACTACAAACATGGACAGTGATACATGCAGGCTAATAATGTTTTAGGAAAATAATAAGGACTCTATAATAATTTTCTGGAGTGCACTTCACTTTTATAATTTTGATTTTCAATTTTATGATGTAGAACTTACAATCATCGCAGTAACTGTTTCCACAACAGGGTATTACTACTGCATCGGTCATCAGATCATTGCAGATTGGACACAAGAGTTCATCGGGATCGGGTCTGTATCGTCTTCAGATGACGACTGGTCGTGTGGAACAAACGGAGGACGCTCCTTCTTCCCTTGTGCATACGCCTCCCTGTACAAACAGATATGTATTTTAATTTTGAGGGCTGAAAAAGAACAATTCAACACTAATATGCTCCACAGGTTTACTAAAAGTGTATTTGTGGGTGTCCCTGGTTACGACGTACCTATCTATAGCAGGTATTGCGTATTCTCCAGTGCTGGTTAACATTGCTCCCTTGGTGCCTGGCTCTGCTTTCACCATGAAACTCTGTGGGATGCCCTTACTAGTTCTTACTGGCTTCGGACCCTCCACACTTTTATCCTGCACCTGAAAAGTTACAACAAAACACAACCATCTTCTTAAAAGTGAATCACTACTTTTTAGAAGTTACACAACACTGAAGTAAAAATTAATGCCAAAGGCTACACAAATCAAACAATAATTACCATGAGTAAAGGGCATTGCCGAATGTAGTGACCAGCCTTTCCACAACGGAAGCAGGTGTAGTGAGCAGGTGGAGGCCCAACCGCTTTCTTGGAGTAACTAAAAAGACAAGTTGCATAAATGTTTCAAAACTATGAACAACTAGCAAGAGATAAGTACACTAATACATGAGCTTAAATGTGAACCAAGACTTTGACTTGAAGCCAATAAAAGCACTAGGTTTGTGAATACTAACTGTATCGGGTCATATTCGTGATTTGACTGTGACATCATGGCTCTAATCTTGTCATCTTCTGATGCATTTGCATCAACAAGGTTTGCAGTCTAAAACACAAAAAGAAAAGCAGGGTGTGAACCAGACATTAAAAATAGAAAAATCGATTGAACTTCAAATAATAAGGAAGTACTGCAGGTATTTATACAAACAGTACCTTTGCGAGTTGGGCAAGTGACATAGAAGGAGAAGAATCAGTCTGCAGGAGAATCAAAGTACAGATATTAAAAGTGTTAACACATTGTGTAATAAATAAACAGTGGAAGATATAAGCCCAGATAGTCCTCCACCACATCTGTGTCCAGTCCATTTGTGTCTCCATCCATTTCTTCTCACCAAAATTAAATACTCCAAGTACTTGAAATGTAAAGGTATGCGAGGATGAGGGTTTAAATCAAGACAGGGTTTACTCTGCTGTGCGAATATAATCCCTGTGCTGACACCGCTGAGTCATGCTTTGGGAAAATGTTTTAAAAGCCTCATCTACAGCTGTGTCTATTCAGAGTTGTTTAGATTGACGAGATCTAAATTGTAGACAGAATATACCCAGAAATACCTTAAACAGTTATGTTATCTATGAAGAGGAAGGTACATTTTAAAATAAAAGCTTTTATGCTTATGTTATTTTAACCTTAAAAAAAAAAAGTATTCATAATGAAAGTAGTGTCTACTCCCTTGCCAGGAAATATAAATGTATTACAGCCTTCATACAAAATGCACCTTTGTGCAGTTAGTTGTTGGTTAAAAAAAAAAAAGAAACCCAGTATGACATTTTAAAAGGAAATTAAATGATGAAGATTGTCTCTGTATGGGCATTCAAAATAATTTGAATCGTGATAAACCAGAATAATATGAAGGGTCATTGAAAAGTATGGCAAACTACAGCTACTTTCCGTATTAACAAATCTAGACCAGTATCTATCCTGGGCTCATGTCACACATCTTTCAGTTGAGGTCCTAAAGCTTCCGCTGCAATGCCAATTTCTGAGAGAAAATATAATTTAACTTTAGCTCACAATTTCTCTTTGCCATCCATCAGTCGTTTTTTTTATTTTTTTGCATCACCTTGCGGATAACAAACTTTCTACAAACTCATCAAAACCAGTTCTGCTTTCTGTAAATTAATGAGCCAGCAAGGCATGGTGCGAAGAAGCTTCAAAGAAAATAGGGCGAAAACTTCAAAAAGGGATTTTTGGTGGGACCCTTGCGTAGAGATGTTCCTTTAAAGAAACATAAGTACAGGTCCAGAGTTCCTTCTAATTTGTACCTAAACAAACCCTCAAACAACAAAGTGATGCATGAAACATCTTTGTAATTAGGTCCCAAGCACAGATGAAAAACAATCCTATTCATACAACAAACAAAACTTCAACTGTGGAGAAGTGAAGCATCTTTAAATCCATAAGAAAAAAGCTAGTGGGCACAGCGGTCCGTCATGATAAACGGAGTTCGGAGGAAAGACTGGGTATTGCAGAATGCTGTGGAGGGAACACACATGGATCTGGTGAAAGTGGTTCTGACACTGAACCACTGAACAACTTTATTGACAGGTTCTGCAGCTTACAGCTTACAGGACACACTACACCAGTATACGTCTCACTGCAGCAACCATGGAGGGCTTTCAGAGATTAACATGGTATTTAGTTTACTGATAGCGTCTCAGATCACGTCTACTTCAGTGACAAAGTCACAGCATCTCAGTTTTCAAAACTAGCTTCACCCCGTTCCTTCCAAACTACAGTTGTAACAGTAAACTTAGATCTAGTTTCTGCTTCCTTGTAAAACAAACACTTAGGAATCTAAGCTGTTCAAAACATTTAACTCATCAGGAAGAATCTGTGAACCTTTAAGGTTTAAGAGTAACGTGCAATCCATACTCAATGCAGAATAGAACATCTTCATGATGAAATTGTACAGGACAAAACATGAGACATTGGTAGATGTTATCAGAGTAAGATTTTCAAATAAATATCAATGGTGAGTATTGTAACTGTAATAAAAGATAAATACAATCAATCTCAGCCACAATTGACTCTGCTTGGTCTTCAACCACATATTAAATCAAATATTTTCACAGAAAATAAAATTACATGAATTATTCATACAAATGAACCATGTTTTCCTTTTACAAACCCCTTTAAAAATACATTAACTGGCCTGAAGCAGGCTACAAAACCATTTCATTATGAAATACATTCTTTTACAATTTAAATGGTTTCTCAATCACTTATAAAGTGGCAACAGTTCAACACTTGATAAGTTGGGAGAATAAAAAAAAACAATAGTGGCTAGTCTGTTGTTTCTCTGTTCAACCTCATCTCACTCAGCCACAATAAAAAAAACTTTAATCTGCTCATTTGAAAACAAAGGCAGGGTTTTTATAGAGAAACAACAAACTACTTCAACTGTGGTACCTCATGAAACCCGGGACACTCACAAAAAACATCAAATCACATGTAGAGGTTGAGATCTCAACACATATGTTACCAACACACAGTGAACAGAAGATACAAACAACTCGATCTTTGTTGACAGAATGTTTTCAAGAAAGGTGATTAAAGCCAGAAAGAAGGGGAGAGGGAGAGAGGTGAGAGGAGGGGAAGAAGAGAGTGTTGATTTGTGGTTTGTTTTACATACGGGTCTAGAAGATCCGACCACAGCTGTGTCAGAACGATCTCTGTGGAAACAAAAATGGCAGAGAAATCAATCAAAAGCTGATGCTTATCTTCATGCTTTAACTTATTAAGAGAGTGTACTTCATCATGATTGTAGTAATCATTTAATTTCTCAAAGTATACATACACAATGAACGTCCTGCCAGCGGGCTTTACTCCACCAATTGGAGTGCGACGGACGATCACAGATGAGTGTTTAGGGATGTGGGCTTCATCGTCAGTATACTCTTTAAAACACATGGTAAAAATTCATTAAAAACATAAAATTCAATGACAACTCAACATCTATACTAAAAGACCTTAACATCCATAGTTTAAAACAATATAAGACAGTAATGAAGTAACTAAGATATGTACATGTAGCATTTTTGGTAGTTAAATGAGAAGCCAGTGGTCTTTGATAAGTTTATTGTTGTATATTAAGGATACCTATTTACACCTTTCATGTTGGCAGTTGATACTCATAATTTAGATATGTGACTTAGTATAAAAATGTAATTTGAGAAATTAACTTTTATTAAAAGAAGTGATTTTTGAAGAGGATGTGTGGCAATGACAAACAAGAAATCTGGAGAGGCCATCTTGGGTTTGGGGAATTATTATATTATATTTTTCTCTTATTACTGACATTTTATGTATTTTTTATTTTATTTGTCAATTTTATTTCATTCAAAAAAAAAAAACATAAAATCTCAAATTTTGAATGAAAAGGCGCAGAAAGAAGATTAATCTTATAATATCCGCCCCTCTTTTACAGAAACATTGTAGAACATCGTAGACAACAAGAGTGGGACAAGAAGACACTTTGAGATCAATAAACTTGAGTTTTAAACATTGAATTATGCAACACTGACGTAAATCGTGATTGTTTAAAAACGACCATTAAACAGTTTTCAGGACCCCAAAAACTACAGAGCAGAGACTGTTGGATACACAGTTGTCCCCTTATATAAATGGATGTTACACATTTTGGTTGTGTGTCAGCTGACGACTTACCTTCTCGAGTCTGCGCATTGGTAATTTGCAGGTCGCAGTCTGTGGCCTTGAGGCGCTCTCGGCCCATGATCTGCCTCTTAAGCTCACTGAGGGTGATATGCAGCCCATCGAAAGTGACTGTGTTGTATTCCAGTTTGGAAGAAAACTTATAGTGAACACACGACATTTTTTTTTTTTTTTTTTTTTACAGGTCTAGGAACTTCAAGTCAATCAAGCACAAGAAAAGAAAAAGAAAAAAACAACACAGGCCTGTGTTATAATCAAAATAAAACAGCGTTAACACTACACACAAGAGGGCTGAATCTGGTAACTTTAATGTATAAACCTTCTTTATATATTGGCTGGAAACACTACAGATAAAGAAAAGGGACTAAAACGAGGGGTGGGGGGAGGTGTTCAGGTCGTGTGTAACGACAGAGTCCTTGTTATTGCCAAAGAAAAATAATCGCGATGCGAGGCCAGGGCGCCATTGAGCGGCCCCCCAGTGTGCATCCACAGTTCTTTGTGCGAGTCCGATAAATAACAACAGTGAGCCACCAAAATCCCAACAGAGTCCAGGAGGTTTAGAGAAAATCTATGACTTGGATGTAAATGCAAAAGTCCGGTGGTGGTGAATTGTCCCCTTGTTGGAAGCACAGGCCGCCTCGCTACCAGCTCGCTGTGCAGCTCAGCGGAGGGCCTGTGATCTCTTCAGTCCGTGTGGATATAATGTTTAAAAAGTCAAGATGAGACTCCAAAAAAAGAAAAAGCGTCCATATATCTTCCACTAGTCCACAAGTTTCATGTTATTCCAGAGTCCTTACGTGTGTTTTTTGGGGGTTTGTTTGTTGAACGAAAATGACCGAATAGTTAAATTAGCCGAGTAGCTAACGTCGATGCTAACATGCTACACACCACTTTGCCAAACAAAAAGCTAAACCAACGCTAACAGTTACTGCCCACGTAGGCTTTCAAAAAATATCTACAAAATCCAACCGCTTGTGATCCCAACACTCCTCGTCGATATACGATTATCTTCCATAGTGTAAAAAATAAATTAACAACTCCAGTGTTGATTTTTTTTTTTAATCCAATCCGGTTCTGTTGTTCCGAGGTGCTTCTCTCTCCTCGCTGTTTCATCAAAATGGCGCTGACCGGAAACGGAAGTAAACGCGAAGGCAAGAAGTTAAGATTTAACCGACTTTATAATAACTATATAATATATAATCACAGTGTCTACTATATACTCGACATTAAAATGTGTTTTTCTGTAATTCATAGTTGTTGTCCGCTCTGCTATTAAATTAAGTGTTGGCATAACATCAGGCTAATATATTTTTGATGTTATATGTTAGACTTATATCTACTCTTTTATATTTTGTATTTTTAAGTTAAGTTTAAGTTTAAGCTTTAAGTTGTATTTAAATTGACACTTTATATTTAGGGTAAAATGTTTCGTACTTGCACTGCTCTGTGTACCTTTCAATTGTAGTCAGATTTATATTTTCCATTTACTTTACTTGGCGTGACGTATCAAGGGTAGCGTGGCCGAGCGGTCTAAGGCGCTGGATTAAGGCTCCAGTCTCTTCGGAGGCGTGGGTTCGAATCCCACCGCTGCCATGATTTTGTGTCGAGCACTCCTCATGGTACTACGTACATACGAAAATTATATAAGGTTGAAAGAAAGCATGTAGGCTAGACTTCACTGACTTATGAAGCAAGCGATGTGATAATACATAAAACAGTATTTTCTAGGATCTTCTGAAGGTCAACCGCATGAATCAGCATTCTGTGTCCATATTGGACAGGCGTGTGAATGGGTAGCCTAGGGTGTAAAAGCGCATTGAGTAGTCAGAAGACTAGAAAACCTCTATTTAAGCTCAAGTCAATTAACAATTTACATGAAACAAAGCCAAACTCTGAAGTAGAATCAGTCATCATGTTCATATAGGTCTACAGTGACTGTGAAATTTACATGTAAAAAAATATAACAACAGGACAACATATAATATAACAACTTACATCAGAGCGCATAACACTATAACATTAACAGACGTGACAAAACATACACTTCAAATAACTTGATTTATCCGTTCCTGTAGAACTTCAGTTGTGTAAAGGAGCATCAGTGTGCACACAGCTCAGCACAAAAGACAAACAAAAACACACACATACAAGTGGCTGTATTAAAAGCATGATAAATAGGTCAAAAAAATAATTAGACAATAACACAATGAGGACAGCTCCTGGCAACATAAATGATAAGATGTATTCAAAGCTGTTACATCAGTGTAGAGTGTGGATGCTGCTAGTGTATAGCTTGCGTTCACTTTAGCTTATTCCAGACTGCTAATTTAACTTTTCAGCCATGTTTTCATCGTCTGTGAACTTTTGTGATTTTTTTCATGCAAATAGACAAATAATGTAGCTTGCTGTATGGTCTACTGTACGTATGTGCTCAAGTTTTTTTTTTCCATTGTTGTTTTGTTGCGTTCTGTTTCTTTGGGGATGTCAAGGTTGCGTTAGGAGTGACTCTTACATTATACCAAATTTACAAAGACATCACCCATGCACTAGAAAGAACACACTCAATGTATGTGACCTCTTCTTATGAATATAGAAAATATTTACACATCAAAATGTAGACCCTGATTGTGTTTGCACAATCAATGGTGTCAGGTGATTTTTTTTTTGTACGATCAGAAAAAGATGGCGCTGTGAGCATAGTCACCACACAGCCATGGATGTTCATCTGAACGATGCTATATTGCCATGGCAACACATCAGGTTTCTTGGACCGAATGCTGTTCTTTATACCGCAAAATCATCCCTGACACATCTTACTTATGCATGTTCAGATACATACAGTCCTTTATGTTTACAGTACAGTTTTTTTTTAATCTCTTTGTACCTGGCATTTGCTGCTGTTCCCAAATATTTGAATATCCTCCTTCTATTTCTTTACCAGACAGACACCTGATAGGTACAGTACAGAAGAAATTACACTTCACCTAGAACCAAACTTGTCTCAGTCAAAAGTTTCAATTTTGTTTGAATTTATAATCTGTATTTAATGTAAACAAAGACTCACTGACATACCTATAAGGGCAACACCTTGTTACACATTTTTTTACAATACAAACCCAGACACATTCCAAAAAAACTGAGAGAGAGCGAGGGAGAGAGAGAGAGAGAGAGAGAGAGAAAGTTCTAGTATTCAATGTAGTGTTTTCGATCTTGAGACCAAGTCCACAGCAGAAGAATAGGGCAGATTTTATAATGTAATTCCTTGTTGTAAATGTTAGGAGCTAGTTTCTTATTTCCGTGGACTCCAATCTGCCTCTCTCTGCATGTCTGTATTACACTCATATTCCTGTAACCAAATTCACTCTTTCACACACAGAGAATAAAGATATACTCAAGATATAGCAAATGTAATAGCCAAGCACAATTACATATAAGAGCACAAAACTATCAGACTTCAACATTGTGTTGCTGTTTATTTGATTTTTCTGGTGATACAGATTAATTGTGTTCAGAGCTGGAAAATTAAGATAATTAGAAAACAACATCCTTTGAACATACTTTGTGTATAGCTTCTCAACATGATTTTGATCTTTTCTTGTTGTTTAATAGAAAAGTAAATTAATGTCTTTTGTTTCAAGACTGTTGGTTGGAACCTGGAGATGTCACTTCAGTTTTGGAATGCAACGGAGGATTTTCAATTCTTAATATTTCAAACACTTAACATATTGCAAAAATAGTAAACTCATAAGTTTCTTCACCCCCATTTCAGACTCCAATGTTTTCATTATTCTCATTCTAAGAAGGAAGAGAACTTCTTCTCGTTCAATGTTTTCTTCTAATAGAAGTTCCTCTCCTCTTAAACAGGCGTCGTCCTTCTGCTGGCCGCACAGTTTCCCGGCAGCATCTCTGTGTTGTTGTGAGCAGCTGCAGTAGTTAAATCATCTTCATCCATGTCAATTTCACTGTCTTTGAGGGGTGAGGCCAAAGTGTAGAGTATGAACTCTGACCCCACTGTCACAGGTGATGGCAAACCTGCCATTGTGATCTTAGAATCATTTGAGAGGGACGGCTCTTGGTCCCTTACCAAGGATGTCTGAAAGGACTGTAAGTTGGAGTCTCCTACACTGTGGTTGCTCCTGGAGCTGTACCTGCGGCCGCGATTGCTGTAGTACCGATTGCGGAAGTAAGACGAGGTGCGGGAGACGGGCGGCTTCATGAGGGAGGGCCGGCCTTTAGTGCGGAGCTGACGGTGTTTTTCTATAAAAACATGCACAGCCAGGACGCCCACCATCTCAGCCAGCACGAAGGACAGAGCTCCGAAATAAAAAGACCAGCCGTATGCGTAGCTCTTCTTGTTGTCGCTCTGGCTGGGGTCACCGGAGTTAGCTGATATGTAGACGATAATACCAATAATGTTGCTGAGACCTGGAAGAAATACGTCTGTTTTATCTGGTGTTAGTTTTGTTGCTGTGTGTATGTCTTCTTATCTTTTAAACTGCCTGCCTGTCTGTCCAGACAGACAGGCAGGCAGACAGACAGAAAGAAAGATGGACAGACATAAGAAAAAGACAGGTAGACGGACAGTTAAATAGAGAGACTGACAGGAAACAGACAAGCAGGATGTCAGGCAGGCAGACAGACACAAAGGCGGAATAAAAGACAGGAAGACAAATGGAGGGAAAGACAGACAGACAGGGAGGTAGAATGAAAGAAGACAGACAGAAAGGAGACAGGCAGAATGAGAGACATACAGAAAGGGTTACAGGTAGAAAAGAAAAATAGTTAGACTGACAGGCTGACAGACAAACAGACATGAAGACAAACAGAGAGGGAGAAAGACATACTCTGAGACATAAAAGTAGACAGACATAAAGGCAGCAGGCAAAAACATTGATTATTCGTTTTGTTTGGGTGTGCTTCTAACCTGCAGAAACAAAGAGTATCCCTGCGCAGAGGATGACATTGTAACGTGACTTGTAGAACTCACTGGCAGCTACACAAACACCTCCGAGGAATAATAACCCCACGCTGAGGATGGGGAACAGGCTGGAGGCTCGTACTGCTCCTGAGGCGATAAAATGGGTAAATTATAACATTTGCGTATAGGCTACATGTACCTTCTATTAAGGATTTTATACATATAGACATTTATTACTCACGTAGTAAATACTCTGCAGCGTCCTGCTCATAGTCTCCATCTTCAGCAAAATGGTCAATGTCTTTGCAAACACCCCGAAATGTACCTGCAGAAAAATAAAGGAAAAAAAAACCCCCAAAGAAATATATTGTATTACTATAAATTAATTTGATAAGAACTTTGCCTTTGGGTTTCTCTGTTCTGTTTGATTATATAACATGAGACACATAATGAGACATTTATAGCGGGCACATTATGTTTGACCCTGTAAACTTGGTTTTCTCCATGTTCACATGCAATATATGATGCTATCAATCTGATTAGCTGTATTGTGTTGATATTTGTCTAATTTTGTACAATTCAGCTCCAAGCCTAATCAAAAAGTACTATGAATAAAAGCAATAACTGTGTCTCCACCTCTTGTGTACATTTAGACATGAATGTGAGAGCCTGGCAGCAGTGGTTTAAATCAGCTGTTCACACACTTTTTGGCTAAAAACAAAAATAACGATCACATGTATTGTAATTTGGAAAGAAGTTTTGAGCAGATCGACCAATTACTTACCAGTGTTTCCCCTAGGTTTATTGCGTTGGGGGGGTGGGGACAAGCCGACATGCTGACATGACGACACAAACACTTGAAGGAATCTTGGTGTTCGTGCGTTACTTTTAATGATAGCTGTCCTTTTCTATCGGAAAGGTATTCTTAAATGACTTTTTTCCCTGATTTCCGACTCTATCCACTATCATATCTCTACAATAAAGGCACAAAAAGCCCCAAAAAAAATCTTTAAAAAATCTTTTTTTTTTTAACTTGACCTTCAGGGGGGGCATTAAATTAATAATGGTAGGGGAAACACTGCTTACTCTATCCTTCAGATTTTTCTATTTCTATTTGGAGGCCCTAAGTTGCAGATATTACCCATATATTGTAATAAAATGCAAACATTAAATACATGTCTTTTAGATAACATACAGTATCTATTGTAAAGTGAAATTTATATTTTCATCTGTGATCCTTTTCATTTTAAGAGTTTTCTCTTGGGACCTTACTGAGTGTCATGACTACTAGGTTTGGAAAGACATTAAGGTAGTTAAATCAAACAGAGGCTGATTTTTTTAAAGTCTTTCAACTAAATATTGACTCAAAGGATTTTCTTATTTGGTATTCCTATTAGGTCCTTTTTCTGCAAAAAAAAAAAAATGGCCATAAAGTAGAATGACTTATAAACATTAAAATTATTAAAGAAAAAATACAACTGGAATTAAATAAGTAACAATTGAATGTTATGTAATTAAAACAATAAGTACATTGAACTCCTGTAGAAATTAATGAACCAGCTGCACACATGTTTCCTGTTGCCACTAACCTTTGGCCCAGCTGTGCCTTTCCACATTTGCACACAGGGATTTATTGATAAACGTGTCCCTCTGCGCTGCACTGATTGACCAGTTATTGACGGTGTGACTAGTCGCCATGGTTACCAAAATAATACTCGCTCAGCAGCTGCAACTCGGGCCACCATGAACAGGTCAGAGGGAAAAGCACACAACTAAGAAGGCTTTTATTCTAATTATTGTCAGGGTACAAATGGAGATTAGGTAACGTTTGTTTTGCACCTCACGATTTGTTTGCTTTCAAAGCAACATTAGGTCTTTATCAGACTGCTAATGTGGTGGGCACTTCTGTTTTAGCTTGAAATGAAAGCGGGAAGATGCTACTTTTAGGATATTAAGGATGTCTGTCTGAGAAACCTGTGGCTCTTTTGTATGTCCTATTACTGTTTATGTCTTTCTTGTGATTTAATACAGATAAAATAACATTAAACAGATTTAAAGTGAAATAATAAAATCTTCTACGAATAATGTATATCAAAAATGTTGACACACGCACACACACACAAACACAACAACAACAACAACAAAGAGGAACCAGAGAAAGCATCGATGTCCTTTGCATTTTTTTTTTTTTACCTATCCATTAAACCATTTAGCTAAGCTAAAGCAGAAGCAGAGGGAGGGATGAGAGGAACAATAGAGTTGAATTTTTTCATTTCAGAAAATAAGAAAAGCTGATTCTATTAGAAAAACGTTAAATATTTTAAATGTAATTTCCATAGATAACATATCCAATACTTAACCCCCTCCTGCCCACCATAAAATGCATCTTCATGAATTTTGCAATCAATCAGAAATAACCCATAGGTAAAATACAGGCACGAGTGTTTGAAGCTTTTTTTTTGTGCCAACAAAGCATTTCAGTAGGTAAAGATATTTTAAAAAAAAGGAGAACTTGTCTCAGTGAAACGATGTGCCCACAAATCTGAAATCAAGTTTTTCACATAGTATGTTTGAAGTTGTTTGAAAACCGGTTTCAAAGTACAATACAACATATTTTGTGTTTATTTTTGAAAAATTTCGTTTTTTTTTTCCTTGTTGAAACTGGAAAGGTGCCAGATACCTGCTAATGGTTTGTTGACTGAATAACCTTTGTCTGTTTTGTTTCATTTTTTTTGTCTTTTAAGTGTTTTCCCCTCAAAGGAAAACATTGAATTTCGACAATAGGCTTTACTGTTATCAGCCTTGGCTAAATTAAATGTTTGAGGCTCTTGTACTGTACTTGAGTATTTCTATTTCATCTATTTAGACTTTCTAGGCTATTACAAATGTCCAATCCATGACAATTGGGAAAAATCTGTCCTATCTTCTCTGACTCCACTGGTTAGACTCATTTGATTCAGACAATAATAATCTTGAGAACTTTTTAACACTAAAGCACTCTAAATGGATTACTTTTGTGCTTTGAGTAGGCTAAATTTAGTTTTTAGATTATGTAGCCTACCATAAAGGCTAGTCTACTAAATAATCACTAACCTACAGGACATAGCCTACTCGTTAAGAGTTATTTTATGCTGTAGTATTGCTATATTTACTCTAGTCTGAATACTTTCTCCCCCACTAAGAAGTTACTTGGATTATTTTTATATTTTAGACTGTAGGCCTTAATAATTCAGCAACATCCTCATTGGAAAAAGTAGGCTGCAGAAAATAGGTCTATAGGCTATGGCTACTCTCCAATAAGAACAAAAAAGACACGCACGCAGATATGACTATTGGTTGCTATAGCTACTCAAAGGTTCAGCTTTGTTCGTGAGATCCCTGACACGCTTCTCAGTAGTAGAGAACCTTGTTAATTCAGTAGTGACAGGAGTGTCTTTCATACCCTCGGTGCAGCAGGTCCTCCACAGACCGGAGTGGGTCAGGACCTCCTCATTTTTGCGGACGGTGTCGTTGTCGTTTTGGCTCTTGGAGCGGCACACTCCTCGAGAGTACAGCCAGTAGTCCGTGCCAACGGCGATGGTCATGAGGCTGAAGGCGCAGAAAGCTCCCGCCGTGGTCAGCAGCATCATGACACCCCGATTACACACCCTCATGTCGGCTACCTCCTTCTCGCCGCGGAGGGGACAAACACCAGCGGGATTTAACAACTTTGCAGAACTTTCCCTCGGTGTCTTTTCTTTGTGTGGATCCAGTCGGCAGAAGGAAACTCGGATTTTACGCACATTTTCGTTAACCTTCGCTGTCCTCTTGGATATCTGTGCGGGTTTAGTGACGACTCATTCGTCCCTGAACTTTACACCGAGTTGTGATACTTTCGTGTCAAGGGCGCAGAAGAGAATCACGGGATTTTGCTTTGTTGTCATACCACAAAACAAGAGTAGAAGAGAAAGAAGTAAATTCAGGCGGAAACAAATGTTTTTAAAGGAAAGGCAAAAAAATGCTCGTTTAAAAAATATATCTTATACATCAGCGCTCATCTGGACACCTTCTAGTTCATTGAAGCTCAACTCTGTGCTGCATTAAGTGCATAACCCCGCCTCCCACTGTGTGTGTGTGTGTGTGTGTGTGTGTGTGTGTGTGTGTGTACGTGTGTGTGTGTGTACGTGTGGGTTTCTGTTAATCAGCATGCTACTACTACCTCTAAGTGCACAGCCGGATTCAGTTCACAACGTTATCCACCGATTCAGCACCATGGACAGCAGCACAGTGACAACATTGGAGTAGTTTCAGATTAAAAATAGGAAATTCTAAAGTTTCCAAACAATTTTGCTTTGTGCTTTTTATAACATTATTCCAAAAAAAAGCTACATAAATAGCTTACTTGTTCAGAATTGAGAACATTGTCACATTTCCTTTTTTTCTTGAAGTTATAGAAATAAAGAATAAACAACTATTTCTGATGGTGTTTTAAGCGAAATTGTCTGTGAAGGGCATTGTTCAATGATTAATGAGAAAGGGTTTTGGGGGCTTGCTGTAGCCCTGAACAGTGTCTGCAGCCAATAGGCCCTAAGGCTGCTCATAACCGCAAACAACCATAAAGGAGGACCATTTTGCTTTTTTGTGGCAAAATTGGAGGCAAATCTTCTGTTTCAATATTTCAATCATCACAGGGCACTTTATATCTGAGATATGGTGGATAAAGTTTAGAGTAAGTTTATTAACACAAACCTAACCTCAGTAAATCATAGAGTAATCATATAAAAGGACACATGCTATTGTTGCTGTTGCTATTAAAACATTTAGTTATAGACACAGAAAGTAGAATAAAATCACATTTTCATTTTGAAATAATTATTTTCCCAGGTTACAACTGAAAGGATGGGCTAATAGTGTGGAGTACAAGGTTTAACCTTTTCTTCCATATGTGAAGAATATATGCATTGAACCTTTTATGCTTTTGTAACAGCCTAGGACATAGCAAAAAAACAAAAACATTGGACTGCATAACATTTTAAGGTACACTGAATAAAGTTTATTTCATAACAATCTCAATAATTTACAGCCTAAAAATATTAATTCCATTTGAACTCCTTATAAGTTATGTATGAAAGCTATTTATCATATGTACTTTATATTTAAATCTTCAGGATTCCATCCAATATGAAATGGGAGAAGGGTTGCCCCTTGATTTGAACAAAAAAAAAATCTGAATATAAATATTTAAGGTTTTGAATATAAATTGACATGAGACTTATGGGATGAAACCAAGCTAAATAATACAGGACAAATATTTGGATGGCAACCTAGACACTTGCGGTCCAACCCAGCGACATGCCTGAAAGTATTCTTGTAGTATCTTTGATATATTGCACTAACTGCTTTTAATACAAAACACTCCTTTTATTTTAGAACCTTTTTTGGAAACAGTTTATTTGCAGTTTTCCAACTAGTTAAGTTGTTACATAGAGCATGCATGTAAAGTTGTAGTCACTGCTCTGAAGTCACTGTATAAGATGTTTAAAGAGTAACCACACTCTGAAATGGTACTTGTAGCTGTCAAGATGTTATTATATTGCTTATGTAGATACACGTAATTTTAAGATATTTTCAACTCAAGTCAAACAAAACATCTGCAGTACCATTTTTTACAAAGAAAAACTGAACCTTTCACACTTGTTGGAAAGACATCAGTGACATTATGCCAGGAACTTCAAACGAATGCTGATATGGTGATTTGTTCTAACCAGTAAACACACCAACCAGTTACCAAAATGACATTATTATAATCACTTTAATGTAGGTATCATATTGTGAGTATCTCTCACGCGCAGGTAAAGACAGCGCATGCAAAACATGTATACTGTCCTGTTACACAATATCTTCAGTTGGATTAAAAAAGTTGCCCTCTTCTCCTCCTCCTCTTCTTCTTCTTCTTCTGCGACTTCCTTTTGCATAGAAAACACTTCATTCTCCCCTCTTCCCCCTCTCCCTCTTGTCTTATACTTTTCTTATTTCCCCAGTTCCTCTCCTTAAAATGTAGTGAGTGTTAGTTAGGGACAAGAAAGGACTTGGGTAGGAAAAAGAAAGAATTGAGTTTAAATTAAGATTGAAGGAAAGGAAAGAGGAGGAGTAGAAGGGGAGACAGTGAAAGCTCGGAGTAGTGGCAGGGATAAAGTGCAGAGAGAAAGGGAGATGGGGCAGTGTGGAATGGTAGAGCAATGTACAATAACATGAAACCATCTCTAGCTCCAGATCCCATTCCTATTTACACATACACGAAAACATACAGAAATATTACATCTACTTTATATGTTCTTTTCACTCATATTTTCTTGTCAAGGACAGCAAAACAGTCTTTGTTCCGTGCTTTATAAAGCAAACTCTTTCGCCACACACTTTGACACTATTAGAAACAGCGTACATGTTATTCATGGTGGAAACCTGATTTCAAAACTCACTTGCATCAATAAATACAAAACACTGAGGGGGGTTTCTTCCTCTGATGTGAAAAGCAAATTTTAAGGAGCTACTGTACCAAAAAAAATGGCATGCATAGAGGAGCTGCACCACAAAGACTGTATAGGCCTACACAGCACTTACCCACTGCTTACACAGTGCCATAAAAAGAGAAAGAGCAAGAGACTAAAAGACAGAGACAATTTCTAATATCACTGTCATACAGGAATTTAGGGGGTCTCTCTTGGGTTTTTTGCATCAGTTTGGAAGACAAGACATGCTTAAGTTTAAGGACTAACTTAGACATACGCTTATTATTCAGGACTTTTATCATTCAACATGTTCTCTTTTTTTTAAACCATAACCACATGTCTCTGTGTGTTCTGACTTTGCCTACTTTTGGAGACATGTTGTAGTGGACAGACCATTTAGGAAGGGTTGTCAAACTGGAGACAAGACTGTGCCCCCATTATCAGGAAAAATTAGAGTTTTGTCAGTGGTTAAGGTAAAGGCAAGGTTTAGGTAATGGTAAGGATTGGTCTCCAGGAGAGGAATGTACTGTATGTCAATGTAATGTTCTCAAAAGTTCACTTAGAAAATATGTGTGTGTTTGTGTATGTGAACTTGTACATACATCTTTGTTGAGACTAAAAACATTTTTAGACCTTCAGAGTGAGGACATTTTGTAAAGTGAGGATATTTTTGGCTAGTCCTCACTGTTTGACAGTTCTGACTTTGTTTTAGGTTCAGGTTAGGTTTAGGGTGAGATGACTGTACTATCAATAAGTGTCATTTCACTAACAGTATATCATTACAAGTGTTGTGTATGTGTGTGTTTGTTTGTGTACGTGTGTGTGTGCATACATGACTTATTGATCATGGAATGTTTATGACGCAACTTTATCTCGTTAAAGAGAAGAAAAATCAAGTAAACAAACACACTAACGAAGATCAATAAGAGCACATACATAGAGACGCACATTCACTGTGACTCATAGTCATCAGGCTTAGTATTGACCTGCTCACCATGAGGTCCTGTGAATACTACACATGCTTGAAGTTTTTTGAAAACTGGTTGTTGACAATAGGACAAATTGACCAGAAACCAAGTACTAGAGGTTATATCCGTTGGCAGTTTTACCTTATTCTACTGCTTTTGTGTTTTCTGATGTATCAAATGTGGGGGTTCATGTTCTTCCATAAAGATGCTGGTTTGGTTTAAACGGGAATAAGATGCTGTTGCTTTAGCTTAAGGGTATTGAGTGCAGGTGGTTTGATGATATGCATCTTTGAACTGGGAACAAAAGTCTTCTCCAGCTGTGTCAAATCAACATGAACTTTTCAGACTTGGATGATGAATTCTGGGTTGGTGTAGGAGAAGCCCTGAAACTCATTCTGGTCCAGATTCATAATGAAGAGCTTGTCTGTGGGCGTCAGCTCCACCACCATCTTTGTGAACTCCTTGTCGAAGTTACCAACATCACGGCGAGATTTCTGCGGCAGAAAGAAAAGAAGGATGGAAAATGTGTAAGAAAAATAAAGTCATTAAGTAATTTGTACAGCCTTAAAAAGGCTATTAGGGAAGTACAAAGATGACAGACGTTATGATCAACTGTCCCCTTAAACCATAGTGATGAAAGCTAGAGAAGAAGAGCTTATTCATTTCAGCACAAAAGAAGACACAATTTGCAGAGGTGGGAAAAAACAATGATTTGCTGGTCACAATTATACTAAATCTAGACATCAGTCAAGACAAACAAGTCCAGATCAACTTTGTGTACTGAGGTTGTGTTTATAGTCCTAAACAAAGTCATTATTAAATGGGGTTGTGCCTAGATGTGCCACATTTTCTTGTGGCTGTGTCTTTATTTTGATAATTTCTACTGTGTACCATAGTAAAACACAGCATTGGACTTACTCTCAGACGACTGGAGTTTGAGTCCCATGTGAAACACAAACTACATGTTTAGCCCCGCCCCCGACCATGATCTTCTCCCCATCCATGACCAAGTAATTTTGATCCCTACACCAAACCTAATTGTGAAAGAGCCAACGTTTGTTAGCTTTGTAGGTTTGATACCAAACTTTACAGGTACAATTGATGAATTGCACATTTCCAGCCCTGAACTAATTAGAAATGCTCAATGCTGAAATCACCACCTACAAAAAGGTCCTGTGCTAGGTGGTATAGCCTCATAGCAGTTTTTAAAGGGGATAATGTCGTAGTATTAAAGTTTCTAGTCAGTGTGGATAGTTACTCTAATGTGGAACTAACGATGACAGGAAGCACCATTTGTTTTAATGTTTGCTCCAGAGCCTGCCTTTAGTTCTGAAAACAAACTTGAAAACATTTGAACCTATCTTTTAAGTCTTAGTTTTAGCAACAGACTCGTGTTGATATGTAATAAATCAAGTTGTCCAGTTGTTGTTTTTTCCAAGCCTAAGTACACTCTAGTCAACACCTCTGCTCATCTGAAAATGGTGGCAACGCATGGAGTCTAGACTCAGAAAAAATACTAATGACTCCATACATGACTAGGGGAGCAAGTCAACAAAAAACAGACACAGCCTGCATTACAAG